TCTCTCTCTCTCTCTCTCTCTCTGGACAAATCTAGATTGTTATCTTATATTATTATAAACTTAGCTTTTTCCTTTGACAGTCCAGTTCGAGGTACCACCCAGAAAGGAACGCACAAAGCACTGCACAACGGTGACGACTCTGGAGGTATTTATGAGGGTGACAACGTTGATGGGGATTTTTAAAATTGTGTTGATGTCGACGCAGTCTTTGTCGACGTCGTTGCTGCTGTTTTGTTGCTGCTTTGTTGTTGTTGAAGTTGTGTTGCTGTTGTTGCTGTTGTTGTTGTTGCTGTTGTTGTTGTTGATGATGTTGTTGTTGTTGCTGTTGTTGTTCATGATGATGATGATGATGATGATGATGATGATGATGATGATGATGATGATGATGGTGGTGATGTCATTATTGTCACATTGTCAATATATTATTAGTGTTCTTGTAATTGTTGTTGATTATGATGTTGTCGCTATTGTCCCAACTGTTACATTGTTGTTTTTGTTGTTATCGTTATTGACAAAGACGTTGTTATATCCACTGATATCATTACTGTTGTTGCTGGGTGTACCGTAGTCCGCTTCTGTCGTTCCTTTTCTCTTTAAAAAAAAAATAAGCTCATCCTACCTTGCCAAATGTGTGGCCTTTGAAATGCTATTTGTTTATAGTAGAGCGAGTCCCTTTCAACGCAGTAAGTTTACTTAACAGGTGACGGTACCACTTGGTTTTCATGCCCATCTCATTAGTTAAGACGGATCACCACACGTTAAAAGCCTACCCCCCCCCCAAAAAAAAACCCCAACAACAACCAACCCACAACAACAACAAACAAACAAACAAACAAACAAAAAACAACAAAACAACCCAACAAAACAAAAACAAAACAAAACAAAAACAAAACAAAACAAAAACAAACAACAACCCAAAAACAAAACATTCTGAAGAAAGAATGTTCCGTAAATGAGGATTCAAAAAGAAGGTCTGCGGCATACAGTTTGGCTTGATATCGGTTGAGCGTTTTGTCCAATCCCGTAGGATATTGAACCCCCCCCCCCCCCCCCGCACACACGTACACACACACACACGCACACACAAAAAACTATCCCAAAACAACAACAACAAAAAACCCAACAAAAAATAACACTCCAACCCCCGTTCCTGCAAACAACCCCCCTCAACTGCCTTTAAAGAAAAATAACCCACGTAAACAAACATAATATGACAAAATCAAAATAAAACATCTACATGGCCGTCTTTCAGATGACTGGAAAATCCCAGTAGCTGTTGTTGCTGCTGTTGTGGGCGTCGGTGTACTTGTACTAGCGGCGATCTTTGTGTACAAGGCAAGGCACAGGTGAGGACCACTCACAAAATACTGTACTACTGTACTGTACTGTCTCGTCTTTAAACTCTTTGAGGTGGGTGGTTGGCGGGTGCTCTGGTGTACAAACTGGGTACAAGTTCGATTAACGGACTCAAACGAATCGATCGTCAAGTCATTTTCAAGCAAGTGAAAAAACCTGCAAATGATTAATTGAAAGAGAGAGATTAAGCCTCTATATCGCTTTCATGGTTGTACACTCCGGAATTTCAAAGGTGTGGAACCAGTGCACACTGCAACGGGAGCTTCACTTGTTTACAATGGCATCTTCTTTCCCAAAATTAGATCTAAACGAAACTAATGGAAAACTGAAAATTAAACTACAGTGACTTCAGACCCCTTAATGTAACCGTGCACCCTTTAAATGATCCTGAACCACCGTTATTTATTTTTTCAAATTCGAAAGTTAAGTGGTTCGGAGTTCGGAAGTTTTAGGCGACCAAAGTGACGAACTTTCACAAATATAATAATAATACATTATGATGTATGTAGATGAATTATATAGATATAGATAACGATCTGAAGTCATTACAAGCATGCATGTTTTAAGTGTCACAAAATATTGCGACTGCAAGTCTTCTCGATTTCTTTTTTTAAAGTTTTAGTGAGAGTTTTATGGCGCTTGCAACACAATATGGTCATATAAATGCTGGAGATTAGAGGTGGTACAAGAGTCACAAATACAAAAAGGAAGAAGAGAGAAGAATAATAATAATAATAATAATAATAATAATAATAATAATAATAATAATAATAGATAGCATTTGTATAGCGCATATCCCCGCTCAGCAGCAGACTCTATGCGCTTTATACTATATTATTACCCCAGCAGACCATAGAACACTCCGAAACATTCTCAGCTTCCCGGGAAGCATACAGTGCAAGCAGCCGATTAAGCGCTCAAACACTAACAAACTGACAAGATCTTTCGCTGTCTATAGCCGGGTACCCATTCCCACCTGGGTGAAGTGAGGAAAATTCGTGTAAAGTGCCTTTCCCAAGGACACAACGTCGGGCCCCTGACGGGATTCGAACTCACGACCTTACGGTTGCGAGTCCGAGAGCCTAATAGAATAATAGAATAAGGACGATAGATGTTTGATGGGAAGGAAAAAACAAACCACAACGGAGCACCCACCCACCACCCACATTAGTGGTTGTCGGATGACCAGAATGATGAGTTAAAGGTGATCACACCTTCTGTGGTGTTGCGGTTAAGCTCTTTGCTGTTTCACGCAAAAGTTTAGGGCTCAGTGTCAAAGTCAGTTTTTTTCTCTTTAATTTAATGGAGTACGTCATATGTATCTCCTGCCGTCTGTTGAGATGTTGTATCTCCCTTATCCCAGGTTGGCTCTGAAAAAAAACCCCAAGAAGATCGAAGCTGTCCGCTTCCTAAATGATCTATTTGAGTGTCTTCTTGGGGATGTATGATATCTGCAAAAAGTACACAATCAATCCTTTAAGGCTCAAGTATAGCAGCAAGTTGTTTTTTTCTAACAGTAGATTACCAACTTGATCAACTATACCAAAGTTCAAATTTCGAAAAAAAAAACCTTTACTGTGGGTGTTTATACGCCTCCATCGACACAATTTCGATCGTTTAAGAGGCAGGCTTCCGACCCTGCCTGCCAGGGAAAACCCTAGCTGAGAGGGATACAATAAAAATTTCCAGCAGAAAGACAGAGATACTCGATCAAAATTTCTACCCTGTCGCCTGTGTATGACAGCAAGCGCCAATCTGACACACCACAGACGTCGGTCAAGATTTGAATCCCAGAACACATTATTAGTTCTTTTTTCGCACATCTTGTGATATTTAATTTGAACCAAGTGTTCTGTTTCAGGTGGGGATGGGGTCGGGGCAGGGGTACGGGGATAAGGGGATGAGTGCTCCCCACATTCATAAACATTGAAAATCACGTGGAGATGAAGATAGCATTACGGACATAAAACACATTTCTGTCCCCAGAAAACACATGTATCAATTAATGAACAAACATGTTTTCTGCTCTCAGAAAACACAATTTATATCAATTAATGAACAAACATATTTTCTGTCCCCAGAAAACACATTTATCAATTAATTAGCAAACATGTTTTCTCTCCTCAGAAACGAACAGGGTCATTCGCGGTTAGTTGATGAAATCGAGCCTGGCCGAACCAATCCCTTGTACACCTACGGAACAGAGCTGGTAGGATACTCTTCTTCTTCTTCTTCTTCTTCTTCTTCTTCTTCTTCTTCTTCTTCTTCTTC